CGATCACTGTCTGCTGAATTTTCAGTCTTGCTGTCTCATTGTCTTACTGTACTTTCTCTCAGTTCTCGAGAATTGTTCTCTTACTTGGATAATTGACTTTTCTTTCCTCTCTTTGAGATCACCGTAGGGATCAGATCAGGGTCTCTGAAAATGAACTTACGAAGTCTTGACCCTGATACCATGTCATGAACCCTGGATCCATCCATTTTTTATATCTCAGAAACTTTGCCTTCTGCTTCTCCTGTGATTTTGTAAGGACCAAGTCATCTAGGCTCCAATCGTTTAGTCCACTTAGTCTCAAGAGAATTGTCGAATAAAAGAACAACATCACCAACCTTTAATTTCACTTTTCTTATATATCTTTTCTTATCCCATCTCTCTTGATTAGATAATATGTTGGAAGTCATTCTCTCTGCAGCATCCATCACTGCTTGATCAACTTCTGATATTTGTCTCATTCTGATCTGGAGGAGCTATGAAATAGAATAATCTCTGTCGCTTTCTTGACTTGACCATATCTTGAGTACGTTCTCAATAGGCAATGTAGCATATCGGTCATACCACAGAGTAAATGAAGCATAGTCAGTAGTCCTCTTGACTGTTATGTTGTCAGCATAGACAACAACTCTTAATACTTTTGGCCAATTACTGAGATTTCCTTCACACCACTTAGTCAATGAATCTTTCAAGGTTCTGTGACCTCTTTCGACTGGCGCATTCGCTTGAGGATGGTAAGTAGTCACATATCGAATTCTGACACCCAACTTAAGAGTGATTCTTCTTACAATCTCATTTTTGAACTTTGATCCTCTGTCTAAGACAAACTCTCTGATAAAAGGATACATGAGATAGACTTTCTCTATCCAGTCAGCCACTAGCTCGGCTGTCTTCCTTTTTAGAGTTTTTGCCTCAACATATCCAGAGAAATTATCTCTTATGTTCAATATACATCTCATTCCGCCCTTGCCTAATGGCATGGTGATGAGATCTAAATGAACTCGACTTTCTGGCTCCACCAGAATAGTGGGGAAGGTTCTATCATTCTTGTAGTAGACCTCTTCTGATATAACACACATGATTTACAAAATCTGAAAATCATGTCTCTCATGTCAGGCCAGAAGTAGAACTTGACAGTCTTAAAGCAGGTTGCCTCAGTAGCTCTGTGACCACCTGCAACCCCCTCATGTAGAGCAACAATTATCTCTAATTGTCTCTCCTTACCACAGACCATTCTTAGTGGAGGTAGTCCTCCCTTACCATCCACAAAGAGATGTCCTCTTTTTAATCTGAAATTCCTCTTTGAATTTTTACAATAATATTCCTTTAGTTGTTCTCTTTCCATCTTCTTACACATCTTTTGATAACTTCCATCGTATTCTTCAGAAGTGAAAAATATCTCTTTCTCCTTCTTTTCACCTTCTTCTTCTTCTTTTGAACCAGAGTTTTTCCTCATTTCATGAGCAGCCACTGCTGCTGCATTAACTCTAGCATACCAATCATTGGGCTCATCCTCTTCTTCTTTCCCAAGAATCGACTCATAAACATAGGCATTAAGGATCTCTCCCCAACCGTCTCTCTCTTCAGGCCACAAACTCCACTTATAGAAGCGTGATACTTCATAATCTTCATCATCCTTTTCATTCAGAAAATTATTAACATAGGCTGATTCTTCAATCGACCCGTTTACATCTTATTCTTCATCTTTTCTCCAGCTCTGTTCTTCTCAGTAGGAATCTTTTCCAACTTAAAATCAAAAGTCCAGATGAAGGCAATCCACCTACTGACTGTTGGATCTACTTGTTGGTGCTTCTTAATGGCACCACTCACAGCAGATGCATCAGTCTTCAAGATGAATCTTCTCCCTAGTACATAGTGTCTGAAGCATCTGAGGCTATGGATAAATGTCAGTAGCTCTTTTCTGAATTGAGTATAACCTCTCTCTGTAGAGTTAAGAGTCATGCTCTCAAATCTCAGAGGTCTCTCTTTCTCATTTTCATATTTCTGAATAAGTACACCACCCAGAGCTACTGGACCTCCATCTGCCTCGATGATGAAAGGTTTTGCCTCTTCATCATCATAAAAAAACACTCCCAGCACTACACCCCCATCTTTTAATTTCTCTTGTAGAGCTTCTGCAACGGCTTGTCTTTTTTCATTCCATGCTAAATTAGCCCCTTGCCTTACCATCTCCCTCAAAGGCTCTGCAAGGGTAGCAAAATGAGGAATAAAAATCCTCCAGAATCCACAGACACCCAAAAAGTTTCTGACGTCTGTCACTCTCTTGAGTGACAGAGACCAGTTCAAGATCTTGTCTATCTTTTTGGGGTCAGGACTCCTACCCTTGGAGAAACATCTGAAGCCCAAGATGATTATTTCTGGCTGAAAGAGAAGGGACTTTGGTCCACTGGCAGTCAAGTCATATTTATGAAGTCTCTCTAGGACCATCTTCACTCCCTCAGCGTGTTCCCAAACAAACTTCCTGACTCCGCCTGCAACGAAAGTCTCATCCTTTACCAGGGGTCTTTTCACGGGATTGTCATCAATATAGGGTCTGGTTACTTCAGGAGAAATATATTGCATGACTTAGATCATATCCCTTTGAACCATTGCCACACCATTAGTCCAACCCTGAGGTACCACACACATCTGAATGAGCCCTCTTGGCGTGTGCATGACAGTCATTGGCCGACTAGTGAGATCAATGGGAAACTGATCATAGCTAAAATATAAATCAACTAAAGAATAAATGCATCGACCAACAAAAAATTCAGAGAGGAGATCGGCATTAGGAAGAGTACCTGCATCACGTACCGTCACAGAGTTGAGCTTCTGAAGATTCTGTATTCATCTCAATCCACCCCCTGGTTTCCAAAAGCAAAACCAGTGGTTAGCATACGGTTCATCAGCAGGTTCAGCGGCATTAGAAGCAATCTTCTTGTCAATATATTTTACAACCTCTGCTTCTTCTTTCAGGGCATACTTGGTAGGCCTATCATTCCATGGAACATGATCAACTGTCCAAATTTTGGCCATCTTGATCATATCCAAGTTCAACCGCCCTCTCTCTTCATCATTAAAGGAGAATGCACCAGAGAACTCCTGACACATTTTGAAGATATATTATTTTTCTTTAGGCAGGATAAACTGATCCGAGTCTATCTTCATCGTATCAAATTTCTCTTTGGTGACTCTATTTTCCAATTTTGCAGACTTTCTTAATGCTTCAATAATTTTCCTCTTTTTTTTCAAAGTTTCATCATAATTCTTTTCTACTAGGACTGCCGCCGGGTTTTTCTTCACCCCATTGGGATTATATTTTCTCTTTGACCCAGTGACTATTTTTCTAAAAAAGAACGAGTCGATGCAAATTTTAGTTTCATCCTCCCTCCCTAAGCAGTCTCTACAGCCTTCTTAAATGCTTCAATTTATCCGTCCTCATCCTTGAGATTACCAAGGGTTTTTATCATTTTCGAAACTTCATTAATACCCACTGAAATTTCTTCTTTAACCTCTTGTTTACCCTCTTCTCTTAGTCTCCTAATCCTTTCAGTAGACTCTTCTTTTCTGATTGAATTAGCAGACAATCGATGTTTGAAATCACTTTTAATGCAGACCATAAAGGTCTGCTCCTAAGAAGTCTCTGGATCCTGTAGGCCGATCTAGGATGACCCCTCGTGACTGAAAAATTGGACTGCCTCCATTCTATGCAAGAATGGACTCCATTCTATTCAAGAATGGAGTGTCCAAGATGCAATCGTGGTCTAGTTCCGACACTACAAAACCCAGTAATGCAACGGATATGGTCCTAACTCTAATAGGCAGATTGTCAATAAATCCGGCCACAAAAAATTCTCATGCAATATTACTCAGTATGTTTTTTGCAGGTCTATCAATACATAAATCACAAGCCTTCATTGTTATCCGAGAAAGAAAAATCATCTCTGCCCCAGAGTCCATTAAGACTCGAATCTTCACTTGACTAATATAAATGGTCAGGTGCCCACATCCTATGGTTGCGAATCTCATTTTGCAATCTGGCAGTGATCTGTTCAACTGACTGGGGAAAACTGATCACAAATAATTAACTTATAATTTATTATTCTCAATCAGTTTTTTTAGTTCTTCTCTCAACTTGGGCGCTAGAGTCATTGCTTCCTTGAATGACAGAGTCACTTCTGTCTCTTCCAACATTTTAGTAATCACGTCAGTAATCATTGTCCCGTCTTCCAAATCATTCTTGAGAATAAATCTTCTCTTCCTTCCTTATTCATTCTTTCTATGTGGAAGTTTTGAATCTGGATCATCAAGAATATTAATCAGAGATTCCTCAACTTTCCTTCTTTTCTTTTCCTTTATCATTTGGGGCGTCAAACGTGCTTGAAGGTTTCTCACTTCACCAAGCACAACACTGGGTTCCATGACGAGTTATGGAGGTAGATCACCATCAAATGACATCATGTTGACCAGGAAGTGAGTTGTTTCATTAGAAGGAGATTCTACTAATTCAGAAGGACTCTGAGAAGTAAAATTTCCTTCTAATGAAGGTCCACTTGTAGAAGCCTTATCAGACGCATCCTTTATCAATGTTAAGGATTGCAGAGACAGCTCAATCGCGGCATGAGGGCCACTTGTTTCCTGTACAAACTCATTAGGCAACTCATCAACAAGAAAATGAACATTCACATTAGTCTTTCTCTTCTTCTTCTTCTTCTTCATTTTTTCATCATGTTTAAAAGCGATAAGTCTCATACCTCCTGGATGTCTGGGGTCCAACTTCTTCCATGAACTATCACAGACATGACCCATAGCATCCTTCTTTGTCACCCCACTCTTCACATCCTCCTCAAGAGTCCTGCAATAAGTGGTAGAATGACATCCGTCACCACAATAATAGCAAACAAAACTTTTCTTAGGACGGTCATCATACTTCCTTCTTTCTCTGTTTACTCTTTCACCGTTCCCTCCATTCTTTCTAGATCTAGAAGAATCTCCCTTCTTACCATAGCCTTCATCATCATCATCATCATCATCATCCTCTCCACTTTTAACTTTCTTCTTTCCTCTGTCATCCACAACATGGTTTGCAAGCATATAGTTAGTCATCACTCTTTAAATAATATTTCCAGCACTCAGATTGTTCCCTCTGTTCATACCATTCTCAATCTCTCAGTCCTTGACCAATGTACTGATCTGATCTAGTGACCATTTCTTATGAGAAACTGTAGGCAGAGTTCTAACAATTGCAACCATTTCGTTCCATCTGAGAAGTTAGTGTTGAGCCTGATTAAGGGCTGCCCGCCTTTCTGTGTCAGTAAAATTTGTCAAAAATATATGGCATCTCTGAGCTTCGCCCAAATATGAAATTCTTCTTGTTGTTCAGATGAAATTCAGAAGGAAAACATTGAAAGTGTCATACTAAGCTCTTTTGATGTTGAGTAAATCTTTGGTTGTAGTTGGAACTGAGTCTTTCTCAAATTCTTATTTCATTCTCTCTTTGACCTCTTCCCATGTAGTGGCCCCTTCCATCAACTCCTGAACAGCCAACCTCGAGTCTGTATCACAGTAAGATAGAAGGTGCTTAAGTCATTGTTTGTCTGTCTAGTCATAACTGAGTCCAAATAATTCATACTCGTCCAGGAAATCGTTTACTTGAGGTCCTCTGAAACAAGGAATTCTCTCATTTGGCCTCTTTGCTCTTGCAATGTCTGACCCTCCTTTTATAGTGTCAACTCTCTCGACCAATTCTCGTATAACCCCAACCAAGGCCTCTTCATTGGTCCCTGCAGATGAGCTAGGTCTTGAACGACCAGCCATCTTGACCATAGACTTTCCCAGATACTTTCTTCTCTCTTTCTGTCATTTTTGTCCTCTCTTTCCTTATTTTTCAATCTCACACTCTTCTCACAAGGGATACATGTTCGTTTCTCTCTTCTCTTGTTTACTTTACCCCTTGATAATTTTGTACATAAAGAGTGTAAGCAATAATGAACTAGGTAGTGATCATGGGTAACGCAATCCTTCTCAACCTTCCAATGTAATCTTCGATCAATTCTCTTTCATCATCCCTACTCAATCTTCTATTATACCCTTTTACAATACCCCGAATCATAAAATATCGAGTGAAGTCTATAATCTCATAATCAAATTGCATGGCTTATGATCCGGTGTTATTCCTCCTAGCAAGAGAGACTCGTTCCCTGGAAGAATGATAGGATATTCTTCCAGTAGCTCCCTCACTACCTTCAGTAGGTAGTTAATCTCAGTCTGGTCAGTGACAGCTCTCAGGGCAGAATCTCTCATCTGATCAAGAAAAGGTTGCAAAAACTCAAGCTCATCCAAGGTAGAGAGGTTTCTGTCAGAGATCTGAAGAGTCTCTTCTATCTTGATTGTTTTTCCTTCCAATACAACCCCAAATGTTAACTGTTCAACCAAGCGCGGCATTGTTAACCATCATAGGAAACATCTGAAAGATAGATCTCAGGTTGGACATAATCAGGGATTTTGAACATGTGTTCAAAGGTACTCAGAAACATGGATTTTATCATCACAGTAGAGTTTTTCTCCCTTGCTCTACCAATCTCAGCAATAGCCTCCAATAGAGGCATCCAATCTCTTCTGTCTTCAAATCCCTCCGCAATTGAGAACTCAGAGAGACTTTAAAATTCTCTTACTCTCACTCCCCATGTTACTTTCCTTCTTAGTTTCTCTAGCCATTCTTTTGTCCGCTCAAGACTGACATACTCCTCTTTTAAATACTCCAAGTAGTCAACTTCCTCCTCTGGACAGGCAGGGGAGTAAACCCTCACATCCAAACTGTTAGAGTTCAGAAATTTAACCACAGGAATATGAAATATTATATGTCATTTCCCACAAATCTCATGCCTCAAGATTACAAAGGGATTATCATGCCCTGTCACCTCATAAAGTTTGTCCCTCACAGTAGTTATCCTGGCTACTGAGAGTATTCTTCTTGGGCTCTCTTCACTTTCCATATAAGGTCTATCATGACTGACCAATTGTGTCTTCAGAATGTAAGTCCCTCAACAGGTGGTGATGATATCCCAACAAAAGGTCTGACAATATACTAAAGGAGAAATTCTCTCCCTCTCGCTCTAATATTCTTTTCTCATCATGCACAAGATCCGATGCTCGTTGCCAACACACTCATTTTCTACACTCTTCAAATCTTTGTTTTGGCACATCAATTCCAATATCATACTCATCAAGATCAATAAAATAGCAGGTAAGAACATACAGACGGTCCTGTTCTTGCCCTGGTTTCTTTATGGCCTCATACCTCATGATCTCGTAGGGGATTACGACTCTACTCGCTATAGAATTGAGGGAATTTAACAGTTTATCTGATTCAACCTTACTTAACCCTCCATGGTCTCTTATCAGTCTAAGCCTAGGTTTCTTTATTGAGGGTACATAGCGTCGGCTCATTTGACTCTTTGGTCTCGTTTCACTTTCAGAGCAAACTCAACCACCGCAGACCAATTTTCTCTTGACAAATTTATATCGGGCAAGGGAGGAGCTGAAAATCCCTCAAAGACAATAAATCGAGTAGATCCGGTGAAATTCTTATTTTCCCTCTCAAATCTCTCTTTCTCTTTCAGTACTACCTCTTCAGCAAATCCCCAGCATCTCCCATGTACTGCTTCAGTACTTCTTTCCTTTGGGACATAGATTCTCACATAACACATATCCAGGTCTGTGAAATAGAATGTTAGTACATATAATCGTTCCTTCTCTCATCCGCTCTCAACCATCTCATATCTGACAGCCTCATATGGGAACACCTCTCTCTTGCTTAGAGTATTCAGTGACTTTAAGAGACACTCGACTTTCTCTTGACTTGGGTCTGAACCTCTGCCAAATTTCAACCTTCTCTGTTTGATTTCTTCTGCTGAAGTCTTTTTAGTTCTCATGACCACCAGTTCTTTTTTCCCACGTCAGTACCATGCTAATAATTTGCAACCAGTTAATCCCATTACAGTAGCTGTCAGGTATAGGAGGGATCAGGACAGTCTCATATGTTACTGGCATTAAACTTCATTCCACTCTCTTCTTCTGCTTGATTAAATATGCCTTCTCATCATAAAGAGATTGGATTGCAATTCCCCATAACCAGTGAAAAGCTTCACCATCGTCACAGTCTCCCTTCTTGACATAAGGACGGATATCATAGATATCCCCCTCCAAGAAGCGAGTCAGCACTATGCTGATGGCCAAATTGTCAGAACGGTAGACCCAACAATGCTCATACTGATATGGGAATATCCCTTTAGTAATCACTTTCGAGAGTTCTTTCGACGCATCAGTAGTTAACATTCTTGATGAAGTCTCTGAGCCCCTGACTCTCTCTTTTCCTTCCTAGTATCTCAAGGGCATCATAGGCTCATAAGGCATACCTGAGATCAATCCTGATTCTCTCGAACATGAACATCAGTCTCCTTCTCCAGTCCAGTGTGGTACCTCACGCAAGGAAAGACAAGACTTAGTTAGCAACTGGATTTTCCAAGAGAATAACGACTCAAGGAAATTTGAAAATTCAGTCTGAAAATTCAAAAATTGTCAACAGTTCTCAAGGCTTAATCAAAGCTCAAAGCTATTTGCTGACCCAGGCTCGTTCCGGACACGAAACATTTTCATGTCCCTGGCAACGGCGCTATTTTTGTCGCACTTTTTTCCAGTCGGGCCTCTTCAGGCGACCGGAAAGCCAACAGGCTGTCACGCAAGATTTTGTATAACAGTTCCAATAAATGAATAAATTAAATATAACAAATTTCTTCCTGTTGTGTGCGTCTCACGAGACCGTTCAATTGCGGTCTCCGCCGGTCCCCGGTCTTAGTAATCTTTTATTTTGATTCAGAACAACAAAAAATATTGCAAATAATAATCATGGGGTTTTGAACTCTTATGCATGTATCAATTCTGCGATTTTCTGGTTTTGAGAACTGTGACAGAATCATCAAGAGGATGCAATCATCAGCAATGACAATGCAGGAAAAAAAGAGTGACTGACTCAAGCTATGACAGCAACAAAGTCGGATGAGGAAAGAATGAGAACTCGTAATAGTCTCAGAAAGTACATATGTAGGGAGCATGGCCAACACCAGTCAAATGTCCTCACTCATCCCTCCAAATTTCTCACTTGGTCTCTCTTTTCGTTGTGCTTTTCTTGTGCCTCGAAACATGCCCCCGTACTTTCTGAGTCTGTGGCCTCTGTATATAGAGTCACCTGAAACCTGCTAGTTCTTAGCACTTCCAACCAAACTCCATGATACGGAAGTCAACCATAGCACAGAACTTTTCCCATAGGGTGGGGAAATATGGCTGAGAAAAGATTCATCGCCTGAGGTGTGGGAACTCGGAAGGCTCTGTCACTGCTTCGTAGTCGATCACTGTTGGAGAAATGTACCTCTTGGCCAAGTCTACCAAGTCACCCCAGCAAGACCCATCAGTGAGAGTGAAAGGCACTGGAGGCTTGGGATAATCAACATAGAGCTTGGGCCCAAAGCTTCGGATCAGCTTTGCTCCGCTCTCATCTAGCTCTTTCTCTCTCTCTTCAAGGTACCTGGTTGCTGCAGTCCAGAAGAATCAAAGAGTTCATGAGTTTCCTTGCCCTTCTTTACATAGGGTCTCTGGTCATGAATAGTCCCCTCAGTGAACTCAGTGTGAATCACAAAAATAGATAGTTCATTTTGCCTGAAGCCAATTGCACTGATGTACCGGTATCGGAAAGCATCCCTGAGGGCAATCTGATTAAGATTGGTCTACGCTGGCTTGCTGACCGGAAAGGTCTGAACTGTACTCATATGTGTGATGGTTGCCGTCTTTCTGACTTTCTTAGTTTCGAGGATGCTTCGATTACTGATCGTACTTCGGTGATGTAACGTGCCTGACTGTGACCAATCTCTGATCCGGTCTGTTTTTCCTAGTTCACTTCTACCTGATACATACCCATTTCTCTCAAAATTGATGACAAAAAGTTTCTTCCCGATCACCCGCCACAATCTTCTTTGCTTCCTCAACAGATCCTACTGATGAGAGAGTGTT